CTGGCGCAGAGGCGAGAGCGAGGACGCGCTGGGCCCCTTCCCCAGCCCTTATTTTCCCCTAAACTTCCCCAAAACGGGACCGCGGAGAGGCTCTACTTTAAGGCAACGCGATGCAGGCACCCACTGAGGCTCGAGGGGACCGTTCCATCACACCCCACGCTGGCAAAGGGTTTGAAAAGCACCGGGCTTTCGTTAATTTGAGCTGAAAAGAGACAAAGCCAAACGTATGGTTTGGGGTTTTGGGGGGTTTCCCCCCTCTTTTTCTTTGCTGGCGCTCGGCGCGCTGGGGCCCACCACTGCCTACAGCCATGTCACAAGCATGGTGGTGGGACATGCTCCTCCTGACTTGTTGCTGCCAGCGGAGCAGAAATCATTTGCTGCTGTGAATTTGGTTTTTTTTGTTTTTTTTTTTTACCAGCCTCAGCCCTCCTTGCTCCAAAAAAATTTAAAAAAAAATAAATTCTTGTCTAGACCTGTGCTTTTAAGTCTGCTCTCAGCTTTAAAGGTTGTGTTGGCACGGCTCTGATAGCCAGGGGCTGGGCTGAGCCTCTCCCCTTCTAACAGGGGAGCCTGTTCCAGCAGGCCTGGCCCTAGATGCAAAGGGTTTGTGTTTTTTGTTTGTTTGTTCAAGTCCTATTATTCCTGGCACCGCTACAACTCTCTAAAATAAAAGGTCTCTTGTGCTGGTAAAAATAAACCGAGTTTATTTGGCAATAGGAGGGCAGCTGTGTTGCTGCCTACCTATGCTAACCCACCTTCTCGGAGGAGATAAATTTGGGGTGGCTGGGAATACTGCAGGGTCCCCGGCTCCCACATGGCCGCTGCGGGATGGACAATGACATTTTTTAGAGCAATGGGCAGGAGGAAAGTCCTGTTGTCCCCTCCCCTGGCTTTTTTTTTTCTTTTTTTTTTTTTTTTTTTTTTTTTTTTTTCTTTTTTAACTTTGCTTCTCTCCTGGGGAAAGCTGCTCTTGGCAAATCTGCGCCCGTTTAACCTTTGCGACACAAGGATCGTCCTGGTTTAGGACCGTCCACTGCAGGATTCTCAGAAACTCGGGACACAGCAAGTTGCCGGACCCTTGTTGAAAGGCCAGACTGTGACTCTTTCAGTTACCGGGAATCCTTTCTGGGATTAGGGAAGTCAACCACTTTTAAGACAACAAAAGACCAAGGGGACTATGTCACTGGGGGAGGAGCAGGTTGCCCAGAAAGCTGGTGGAGGCCCCATCCCTGGAAGCATTCAAGGCCAGGTTGGCCGGGGCTGTGAGCAACCTGATGTGGTTCAAGGTGTCCCTGCTCCTGCAGGGGGGTTGGACTGGGTGACCTCTAGGGGTCCCTTCCAACCCAAAACATTCTATGATTCTATGAAACCCTCCATTGAGTTTGATCATATTTTTTGGGGAGTATCAAACGCCCATTTCTCTCACAGTCTAAGCCCAAAGGTTTGTTAAACTTGGTCTAAAGATTCAGGAGTGCTTCTTGACCCCGACAGCGCATCTTTTTTCAGTGAGATATAGACAGGCTGTGCAGAGTCAACCAAAAACAGGGGATGAACCACCAGGACCCGAGAGGGAAGGCGTGAAGCAGAGTCACGCACACAGAGGTGGCACTTAAACGCTTCTTGTTAGGACCAGAACGTGATGTCCCGCGTCCCGCAGCACTTCATGCCATACAAAGTGTTTTCTGTGACGTGTTAAATAGTCCTGAGCCCTCAGGGAAGGGACCTGCTGCCACGCACAGGATTCACCGCCGGGGAGATCCCTGACTTTCTGCGTGACACCTTGTGAGGCTAACTAATTCGTGGTGATGCAAGCCCCGGCTGATGCAGTCTGCTGATGTCATGTTTTGGAAACATGAAGCTCTGGCCTGATGCAACAGGGCTCGCTGTAGGCCTCCTGGCATGGCACGCGCAAAGGGTTACGCACCCTGGACAACTGCCCTTTGTTCAAAGCAAGGGGTAGGTAAGGCCTTAGAGCGACAAAACCCCGCTAAGACAAGCAGGTCCCAGCTGCTCTCTGCTGATGGGATGATTTATGTATGTCCACTATGCCTGTATAGGTCATCAAGCGCCATTTTGAGGCAAAAACCACCCTGAGCGGTGAAGACAGGCACTGTGCAATGGGTACTCACTGACCAACGTGCAATGCAGGGAAGGCAATAAATCTGGAGAAGCTGGAAGGCGGCAAGGGTGGAAGATGATCTTGCAGACATAAAATAACCGTTCCCCAGGCCCATGGCATCCCTTCTACAGTGATGTAACCAGCATGGCCTTAGAGCAATGGCAGAATGGCAGGGGTTGGAAGGGACCTCGGGAGATCACCCAGTCCAACCCCCTGCTCAAGTGGAGTCACCTAGAACAGGTTGCACAGGACATGGTCCAGGCAGGGGTTGAATATCTCCAGAGAAGGAGACTCCACAGCCCCGCTGGGCAGCCCGGGCCAGGGCTTGGGCACCCTCAAAGTAAAGTAGTTCTTCTTCACGTTCATCTGGAACCTCTTCTGCTTCAGGTTGTGCCCATGGCCCCTTGTCTTGGCGCTGGGCACCACTGAGAAGAGTCTGGCTCCGTCCTCACGACCCCCACCCTTGAGATATTTGTAGGTGTTGATGAGATCCCCTCTCAGCCTTCTCTTCTCCAGGCTGAACAAGCCCAGCTCCCTCAGCCTTTCCTCGTAGGGGAGATGCTCCAGTCCCCTCATCAGCTTTGTAGCCCTCACATGGACTCTTTCTAGGAGTTCCTCATCCTTCTTGAACTGGGGAGCCCAGAACTGGACACAGTACTCCAGATGGGGTCTCACCAGGGCAGAGTAGAGGGGGAGGAGAACCTTAGTAAAGTTCATCGTAATGCAAATGCCACGCCAGTGGGCAAACCATCCCAAACAAGGCTGTGGTACTTGGGAACCCTCTGATGAAAGCCAAAAGAAATGGAAAAAGAAAGGAGAGTTACCCCTCATGCTGCAGAAGCAGTGAAGCCAGACTTACGGATTTGTACCCCATACACCCCACACTGTAATCCTGACTTCCCTCTAACTCAGGGCATATTCTTCTACCCAACACCATCTCTCTCTGTCTTCCCAGTGCCCCCTTATCCCTCTGCCCCAGCCCCAACCTCCTTCGTGTCTTCTCCTGCCCCTCCAGCCCACTGGGCAGGGATCAGCCCATGCCACGGCGGCTCTGAAGCCACGAGAATGCAGCCCGTCCGGTCGCCACGCTGAGCGATGGATAACAGACCAGTTCTTCCTGCTCTCCTGCCAGTGGGTATTAATAGCATTCCTCCCCTATACTCCAATGGAGATTTTCACTTCTAGGAGCAAAATACCTTGGTGACTCCTATCCTACTATCAAATTAGGGAGCTGGGAAGAGTTCAAGTGACAGGGGAGTCAACCAGCCCTCATTGTTTTACTCTTATTTTTAGCTTGGGTTTTCATTTCCACAGAGAAGGGAGGACTGCTGTTACACGGAGCTGTTTGCCTGAAGTCCTGGGAGGCCTCATACCTGCCCCATTCCTTGCTCCTGCAAGTTATTCTGGGTAGGGCTGCTACTAAATAAAAATGCTCTCCAGGGTATTGACATGCCATTTTGTTATTTCAGCCCCAAAGCATCATCAAATAAATTTTAGATTAACAAATGATGAATTCCTAAGAAAACATGCATCCAAATTCCAGTGTACAATTCCAGACTGATGTAAGTTTTCACAGTTAAAAATACTCAGTTGTTTAAGCGACACATGGCATCTGGCTAGTGCCAGGGGTTGCCAAGCGTGGCATGCAGGAAGGCTGCCCCAACAGCTGAATATGTCCTCCAGCACCTGTGTCCAGGGTGGTCGGCACTCCACAACCTGATCCCGTCTCTATCTATATGAGAATGGGAGGCAGACACAGTTAATGTGAAACCCTAGTGGGCCTGGATCATGATTTTCAGCCTACCTTCAGTGGAGGAGAACCATTACAGCACCCTCAATATCGTCATAGTTCAGGTCTGGCCGGGTTACAGAGCCCTGACCATCAGCCAGGACACTTCAGGGTTGCTTTATTTTATACCTAACCCTACAAAGAAGGATGTTTGTTGCTGCTGACAAGAGCCAACGACAAAAGATCTCTGTTCTGCCACTGGCGGGTGAGGAGAAGACTTGAGCTGATGCATTAACAGAGCCTGGAGGCAGGGGGGTATTCCTCATTGGGCAGTTTTCCCAGTTTTCACAGGTCCTGGATGCCTCTAATGTGCCTGACATCTGGATTCAGTTTCTTCAAAGAAAGAACCTGCGACATTTTAATCCCTTTGGCGGCTTGAAGTCTCGGGGAAAACGAAAGCATCCATTACATTCATAGCATATTCATTTTCATTGTTGTGAGTGTATGTTTTGAAATCCTATTTACTAGGAACTGAAATCCACCTAAAAACTCACTTTACAGCTATTCTTAATGTGCTATATATAGTGTAACATGCAGAGCACTCAAGGACTGGGATAAATAAGATCTCCACCAGGCAATCATCTTCTCCCATACATGTTCACGCACCCAAGGCAGTCAGACCCCCTCTGCCATACGCAAAGTTGTTTACTGTCCGTGAGCTGTGTTTAACATTCCACTCCCAGATATTTATATTCAGAGCCAAATTCAGAGCAGTATTCTGGAAAATGAGCAAAAGTAGGCTATGACCCATCAAGAGACTATTGGGTCATCTGAAAAGTTTACGAGCCGGTCTGGAATCCAGCATTTATTTTGGATGGTGGGAGGTCACTATAATTAGCTGCCATTCAACTCCATTATGCAGTTACAAATACAAAATAAAACCCAACCAAAACCCAAGCCACAGCGCAGATGCATTTTCACTGAAATACAACCTATGTCATTCTGCACACCTCTGCAGAAAACGGGTTACTTCAGCCATCCCCAAAGCGAACATTTGCACGCTCAGACCAGAAAGGCAATTTCCATCTTATGAATACGAATGCAACACCAGAAAACACAGA